AGTCTAATTACAATACCAATATAATTCCACATCTCTGAAATTTCCGATACGGCACCGAAACCTACAATTTGTGATACAGTTAGGTTTGTTTTGTTTTGTTTTTTTTAATTTCGCGCAACGCTACACGAGGGCTATCTGCGCTAGCTGTCTGTAATTTAGCAGTGTAAGACTAGAGGGAAGGCAGCTAGTCATCACCACCCACCGCCAACTCTTGGGCTACTCTTTTACCAACTAATAGTGGGATTGACCGACACATTATAACGCCCCCACGGTTGAAAGGGCAAGCATGTTTGGTGTGATAAAGTTAGGCACAATATATATATATATATATATATTGCCTCTTTGGAGAAATAGTACAGTCAGTATGAAATTTCATTCAAAATGGGAATTCAAAAAACAGGTATTTGAAAAATTCCCAAAGTTTACCACGAAATTGGCTCAAGCTGGTTTGTTGCTGTAAGCAATAAAGAAAAAAATTAACACATATGAAAACAATTTCTAGACCTTGGATCAAAAAAAGTACAACGAACTTCGAACTTGTCTTCCTCTTCATTTAACGTAGTTTGGTAAAAGAGCCCCCCCTACCCCTACACCCAACCAGTGGCTCAGCGGTAAGTCTGAAGACTTATAACGCTAAAAACCGGATTTCGATACCAGTAATGAGTACAGTATCGATAGCCCAAAGTGTAGCTTTTAGCTTAACAACAAACAAAAAAGTTGCTAAAAGGTCTGAGTTACTAAAGCAATATTAAAAACATCGTTCATTTATAATGCTCTTTTCGTTTTAATTAGCTGATTTTTTTTTATCTAATCCAAGTTACATTCCATTTTGTTGCTTATTTAGATTATTTTACATACAATTTTTTTGATACATTTCGGTATGAAAAATTACATCGTTTATACATATTTTAATGTGCAATCCAAGCATCGTGTTACGTACTAAAAATTCGTTATGAAGTATGAAATACTTTAAACGTGCAGTAATTCTATTAAATATTATTTGTCATTTAATTTAATTACTAATTATTGTTTGTTTGTAGTTAAGCACATGGTACACAATAGGCAATCAGTGATGTGCCCACCGTGGGCATCGAAACTCGGTTTCTAGCGTTATAAGTTAGCAGACGTACTCCTGCTTAATATTAAATTAATATTTTTCATTAAATTAAAAAATATTTCTATTCTTACTATATGCTAGAGGTAAAGAAACGTACTAATCAGTCACAGTGTTTTATAATAAAATATTCTCTTTTGTAAGTTTTCTAAATATCTATGTTTTCATTTCACCCTGTCTATCTGTTGTTTTTTGTTGTAAAATAGTATTGGATCACTGATGAAACCATATGATGATAATCAGTAATCTCTATATCACAGAATGAAATAATGATAATGGGGAGATGGCTCATAGGACGAATGAGCAAACTTCTGCACCAACAATTTTAGTAAAGTTGCATTTAGATAAGACACAAAATGCGCCCGGCATGGCCAGGTGGTTAGGGCACTCGACTCGCAATCTGCGGGTCCTGGGTTCGAATCCCCGTCACACCAAACACGCTCGCCCTTTCAGCCATGGGGGCGTTATGATGTGACGGTCACTCCCACTATTCGTTGGTGAAACAGTAGTCCAAGAGTTGGTGGTGGGTGGTGATGACTAGCTGCTTTCCCTCTAATCTTACACTGCTAAATTAGGAACGGCTAGCGCAGATAGCCCTCGTGTAGCTTTGCGCGAAATTCATAACAAACAAACAAACACAAAATGATTATTAATTATAATTATACAGTTTATGGGTAAAGTCTCTTATATATCCTATATTGTTTGAAATATTTGAAGCTAGTGTAATACAAGCTCGGTTATGTATAAAAGTAATTGCTATATTAATTTATCAAAGTATTTTCTGGTCTAATAAAAGCTGTGAGGGAACAAAACTCGGTGTATCTGATTGCGTGGAAATTCTAAGAAGGTGAGTCGACAGAGGTCGCAGCACTTCGTAGTATGTGTTTAGGATGCAGTAGGACGGATTTAACCGCAGCCTGTTGTCGATATAAGTTTGGTGTTTGCAGATACAGATAGTTTATTGACATGAAACTATATTTTTATAAATCACATCTGAAGTAACAAACTATCTTAATTTTTATTACTTCAACAATATTATGACCCTTTCTCAGTAATGTTATCCTTTACTCTCTCCAACTGTCTTTGACTATTAAATGTATGTCTTTTTCATTTTAATTGGTTCTACCTATCAATGAGTCTAATTATAAATAAACGGACACAAGTGTCTCTACTCATCTCAATAAATCTTTTTAGCCATTAAACACACCCTAAGACAACAGGGCCGTGTGCAGGAATCTAAATTTCGCCGCCATTGGGAGGGGGACTTAAACGAACTCGTATTTTATATATGTGATGTCAACACATATACTTACATCATATGCATAGAAATAAACAGTATTAAACTCAAAATTTTCAAGTCAGTAAGCATAATGTATGGAGTCAGTGTGAGCCAAGGTCCATGTTTGTCTCTTGTTGTGCACATCCCTGAAAGACACCTAAACTAAACACCAATTATAACTTCATGAATGTTTCACAAAAACCATATTGAACTGTGTCTATACAATTGGTAAAATTTAGCATTTGGATATTGTATGAAATATCCAGCACGTTACACAAACACGGAGTACTTAACGGTGGCTGCATTTATCCATGTTGTTAAATTTATTTATATATAAGCCCACACTATTAAAGCAGAACTTTGCGAATTCTGATCGAACCACTTACCTTAAAGGAATCAGACACTAGAGTCCTAGATATCTAATGCCAACCAGTGGCACAGCGGTATGTCTGCGGACTTACATCCCTCGAAACCATGTTTCGATACCCGTGGTGGACAAAGCAAAGATAGCCCATTGTGTAGCTTTGTGCTTAACTTCAAAAACAAACAAGCAGATATCTTAGACAGCTTACACTAAATGGTACAGCGATGAAATGTCTCTTACAGCAGAATTTTTGTTTTAGAAAACAGGCAAATATGAATACAGCTAATATCTAATTATAAGAAGTAGGAGATCAATCAGCATTTTTATGCAGATGCTTCGTTTCTTTGAATATATCACGTATTATTTTTAAATATACTCCATTATTTTTACTCAATGTTACGACATGTGTAAGATAACCTCTACTACCGCATATAAAAGAAAAGCTCACCAGACTTTTATTACCGGGTAAGTGAAAACACAAATGGTAAACAAAAATGGTGTGCTTTAAATACAACATGCAGCAACTGTCGGGCAGTTCAAATTGGACAGAATGGCCCTATTTTTGGTCAAAAAGCACGAAAGAACATAAACAGTTGCACACACTTGTTATGATTAAAAACTTTGGATTAACTAAACTTTGCAATGACAGTATCCATGGCATATTTTGAAAACCTAGTAGTCCTAGAGATGACGATAGATAAAACGTGAACGCAACATAAAAAAAATTAAATATACACATCTGTGTACAAGTCAGATAAATTTCAATCAAAGGATTTTTCCTGTGTTATGTTATTATATTACAAATACTAAAACTCTTTGATTTTAAAATGAGAATCTTTCGTTATTGGGTTGTTTAATATGTTGAGTTGTTTGTCAGTTTCTTTATTCGTCAAAACGTGAATTTCGGTGAAGAATAGTAGGCCTGTCAACTTTCCCGATTTTGGCTGGAGTTTCCCGATATGGAATCCTGTTTCTCCATCTCCCAACTCGAGACCCGGATCACTGGATATCAACTTTTTTAATAATTTAACAGAAAGAATTGCGTCGAAAAATTCAACTTCACAGAGTGCCAACCAGGACAAAGCAAATATTTACTCATTTTATGTGACATTGTTATACTTTGTTATGTTATACTGTCTGCTTCTTGTACCAGTTCCAATGCATCGAGTGAAAGGGCATTTTCAATGGTGAGAAAGATCGTAACAGAGAACAGGACTGAATTAGGTCATGACACAGTATGTGCCCTTTTAAACTGCAAGTTTAACTCATATTCCTCAGCCAGTAAATACAAGCCCAGCAAGCATGTATTGAAAGATGCCAAAAGTGCAACATACGAATATAACAAAGAACACTAATCAAGATATATGTATTTTTTATTTTTCAATTCTTACAATATAAATGTATAACAATAGCAGATGACTGTGGTTCTAAGTGAAACTTTAGACACAAGTCCTTTCTCAAATAAAACTGGTTCATTCTTTCTGAATACAACTTTGCAATGCACTTAATTTCCCCAGTCACGCTATAACAAACGCTATAATTCACAACCAACGTCACACGCGCTCGACCCAACAGTACGTCTCTATCTTTGTCTGCAATTCAACTACGCATTACATTGTTGCCGTCACTTCTTACCGGTCTTATATATACGAGAATACCGCATATCTAGTAATCTCTCGAGGCTTCAGGAAGGGACATGAACGTTCTAGAAGTTCATGACGTGTTACTTCCGCTGTCGTAACAATATCTAAACATACTTCGTATGTATGTAATTAACCTTTCAAACCTTACGAGGATTAGAATCTGTATGCACTTTGAAACATTGAAGAAAACCAAAGATAACCTTATCAACGATGATAATTAGACATAAAAGAGGTTTACATACTCTCCGTAACGACAGAAAATCAGATTTCTAAAAACATTTATCTGTGTATCCAGTGTCTCCTTGAAATGAAATAAGTGTATTTAACGTGTTTTTATTGTTTGTAATTAAGCACAAAGCCACACAATGGGCTATCTGTGCTCTGGCCACCACGGGTATCGAAACCCGGATTCCAGCTTTATAAGTCCACAGACATACCGCTGTGCCACTGGGGGGGGGGGCAACATGTTTTTAAGCAATGTACAAAAGACTGTGTTGACGATTTTTAATAAACAGTAAATTGAAGTATTATTAATATATTTCATTCAAGGAACCGTCTTGTAATGTCAGTGCGAAATACTAGGTGGTGAAATTGATGAAAATGGCTCCTCAAAATTATAAGCCGGTAACTCATGTAATTTTCGATATGGATGGTCTTCTACTTGGTTGGTTATTTCTTTCAGATAATATTTATTAATATGTGAAATGCTTTCTATTATGTATTGTAAAATAGAAAATGTTAACGTATTTATCGAAAACTATGATAGGCCTACTTCAGTAAAAAAAAACTTGCAACGTCGAAGCCCAAAGTTAAATTTAAACTCAAACCGAGTCAACTCAAAGTCAAAGCTCTAGTTTATTAAACTTAATGTGCTACTTTAGCCTTAGCCCGCTAAACTTTGGCCAAATTTAGGCTTCTAATTGTATCTTCTTTTTACCTTTTCGTGTTTAATTTGGTTACCTAAACTTGAAATAATGTGGCCGAAACTGAAAAAGATAAAATCTAAACCCAGGACTTTTGAATTATGAGAATAGAAACACAGTCTGATAGTAATAGACTGATGTCTACGATTTGATTTTGCTTACAGTTTATCATTGATACATTATGAATTTATGATTCACCTACCTTTGATAAATGGAAACGAGGTCAAACAAATTGACTGCATTAATTCTGAGCTGGTTAAGAAAAAATTGGGAAGTTTAAAAAATTATAATGCTCCTGGGGCAGATAATATTTCCCCAAGGGTTTTGATTGAGGTTAAAGATTGGATTTGTGAACCACTTGCTACTATTTTTTGTCAGTCCTTCAATAGTGGGCAGGTACCAGAGGATTGAAAGTTAGCTAATGTAACTCTTCTTTTCAAGGGAGGTGATAAAAATTGTCCCAGTAAGTATAGACCCATTAGTCTTACATCAGTTGTGGGAGAAGTTTTGAAAAGTCTAATGAAAGATGCTTCACAAAGTAATTTAATAAAGTTTAGAATTTTATTGGACAGTCAACATGGTTTCACTGAGGGAAAAATCTTGCCTAACAAATCTTTTGACACTCTGTAAAAAGGCTACTGCTTATGTAAGTAAGGGTGTAGATTTGGTATATCTGGATTTTCAGAAAGCATTTAACAAGGTGCCACATAAAAGGCTTGTAAAAAAATCAGCTCTCTAGGTGTGGGGGATAAGTTAGCAAGTTGGATAGAAGAGTGGCTGGATGGAAGAAAGCATAGGGTTGTTACAAATGGAGTTCAGTCAAACTGGATTAATGTCAGAAGTGGGGTACCTCAGGCCTCAGTTTTAGAACCTTTTCTCTTTTTGATTTACATCAATAGCATAGATGAAGGAATAGTCAATAAATTACTTAAATCTGCAGATGATATTAAGGTCTTGGGTGTTGCTAGCTGTGAAGAGGATGCTGCTGATTTACAAAAGGATTTAGATCATTTAGCGAGTTGGGCAAATATATGGCAGATAGGTTTTAATTATAATAAATGCAAGATAATTCATTTGGGTAATCATAATTTGAATTATAAGTATAATTTGGATGGGAATAACCTTAACAGTGTTGTGAAGGAAGGGGATCTTGGTGTAGTAGTCAGTCAGTCTCTAAAGCCATCCAAGCAGTGTGCTGTTGCTAGTGGTAGGGAAAATAGGATTTTAGGTTGTATCTATAAAAATATTTAATACGAGTCTAAAGAGGTCATACTTTCATTGTACGGGTCACTAGTTAGGCTACATTTGGAATACTGTGTTCAGTCTTGGGCTCCTGACCTTAGGAAAGACATTGAATTGTTGGAAAGG